GGAGAGACTTGCAATATGATGTTCTGGCTAGAAAGTGCTACACATGTTTTGTTTGAGAAGATTACTCTGGCATAAGAATAATATAAAAATAATTATGTTAGGTTTCTGCCTATATACATTACATATACCTGTCCTTCGTCAAATTGACTTCACTTACAGACAGATGTGGTTGAAATGTTGAAAGGAAATAAAACAGGAAACAGAAAACAGGTGAGTAGATCTGTTATAACCACTATTCATTTCCTCTAAAGATTAATAAGCCAAATATTTTTATTTCATTAAAACATTTCCGCAGGCACCTCTTCTATAAAAACAATTTTAGCACCGTACCAAACATGTTGGTCACACACTTGTTTAAATTTGATGGGGATCTTTGTGTCTGAGGGGATTTTAAGTCCTCGGTTCTGTGAGTTGTCATATGACAGGTTTTCTAAACAACTGGACACGACTGGACACGATGTTCCGATACCATCTTTCCTTCCCTCGCAGGTGATAAACCATTATGCAGTTTCTCTTTTTTCACAGAAACATCCTTGAGCTTGTGAACTAACACCACTGATGCTCATGTGTTCAGCATATGCACACAGAGCTAACAATATTTCAGCCTCACTTCCATGATCTTTCCCACCACTGTTTTCCCACCGCGCAAACACTCCACTGCAAAACTCTGTGTCTTTGCATGACATTGAACTCATATCACATAACAAGCAGCCTGAGATATCCATTTCCTCCCAGAAACACAAAACTCAACATAAGCTCTCAATAATGTGTTAAGTCATTGATCTCCGGGGGGCAAATTCTATTTTTTCATGCAGCGTCAGCTAAAACACAGAGTCGATGCAGCTGGTGGAGATTCACAACCTTGCTCGGAGATGCTTCGGTCTGGCAGACGTTTGCCGACACAGGGGCACGAACCCACGTCATCTCACTCAGGAGGAGTGATCTCCTGGCTTCACTCGACCTGCTGCCCGCCGGAGAAAGAAAACATCTGACGAAAAGCTATGCGGTTTGTACCTCAAGCGAAAAGAATTGAATCAAAATGAATCTAAGGTGTGAGATGAAGCAACTCTTCTTTCGTCTCTCCCTGCTACACCACAGGACTCGAGTTTAAACTGGCAGAAATCCACCTCAATGAAGTGACCTTGAGGGTATCATTGAAGCCCAACCTGCTCCTGGGATGTTTTTTTTCCTGCAGCTCACCTCTGTGCAAAAGAGAAAGCAGGACACAAAATTTCCTTTGAGATCAATATTATTTTAAAAATGATGTCCTGTCCTGTCCTCCCTCGTCTCCTTCATCTGCTCCCCTGGCGTCCTCCTGAGCTCTGCGGCCGTCTGTATGTAAGGTAGTGTGCTACGACAGCCCAGGTATGTGGGTTAACAGATTTTGTAGTAAAACTCAGCCTGACCGGGTCATTGTGCGGAGGAGACAGACATCTCCTTCCCTCGCTCAGCTCACTTATGTAACAGCCGACCGTGGGTGTCTGCCTCTGAAGTCGCTCTCTATGTTCAAAAGCCCAATAACTACAGGATACAACCATTCAAGTCAAGTGGGACCACTGAGCTGCTGTTTGAAACAATGAAAAATGTATTGCATGTGTCTTAGATTAAAAAGCACTGACAAGCCTGCCCGCAGAGACTTCTCATCCGCCTGATCGTCCACACACAGAGACAAAATGTAACAGTTGAAATCTCTATTCTCACAAAAACAAGCAATACATTAAAATGTTAAAAAATTCTCACAAGATCTGGACAATTAAAGTGTAACACAGAATGCATTCAAATAGGGAGCGTTGATTATTTTTCAAGCTTCTACAAATTTAAACAAATACGTATATTTGTAAGTATGACGACAATAGCTCTCAGTAGAGCAAATACCCCCGCAAAGGCCAAATAGTACTTTTAAATTCACTCAAGCTGCACCAAATTACAACACTGGTAGATATCAGTCCCGTAAATATATCTGAATTTAATGGGTTCTTTATTTGGCCCCATCTTTCCACCAAATTTCACAGAAATCTATTCCGTAGTTTTTGCATAATCCGGTTCACAATCAAACCGACAAACACGCAGGGGGAAACAAGTAAGGCTTCAAAACCATTCATTTACTAAAACCTTCATTGTATTGACCATTTGCCAGTTGTACTACAACATTTCTTAGAAAAAATAAAACCATCGCCAACAAATATAATGAAGTTGTATTTTAATGCTAATGTTGGCTGCAGGGCTGCAACTGAGGGTCATTGTTATTATTGATCAATCTGTCGATTGGACTGTACCACACATCGTTAACTGTTTGGTCAATAAATGTTACAAAATTGTTTATCACAATTTCTAAAATCATGGATTATACTTTATCTCATTGATTGATAAATTCAACTAACTGTTTCAGCTATAACTTTCTGTGACCGGCTCAGGCAACAGGGCATCTCCAGTTCTTCCAAATGATACGCAAAATACATGATGTGCCTAATGAAAGTTTTTTTCTTGCCACATTGGAGCATTCATTTAGATCACTTTCTAAACCCTCCCAGTTCTTCATTCTCGCACTCACTCTCCAACTTCCACAGTGGCTGAGCGGACGTCAGCAGACAGGATGGGCAGTCATGCCAGTCTGTGTGCTCAGTGATGGAAAGTTATTGATTTTCAGAAAGACAGTGCATGCCATGACAGAGCATGAGGCCATTTATCGGAGCCTTTATCAGACTGAGCATATAAAGGATAATCACTTAGGCGCTATTCACCTACAACATAAGATGTTTAGCTTTACTGGAACTCATGCAGCTCAGCCTCTGCATGGTAATTTTTTGGATTAAGCTGTGTCCATTAGTCTTGGCCTGACACATTGCCATTGTAAGTGCGTTGGTGTGTGTGTGTGTGTGTGTGTGTGTGTGTGTGTGTGTGTGTATTGTGGCATTGGCACAGGCTCCAGAGCTGCCATGTTGTCGACAAGCCCAGCAGGTTTCTTTGGCAGACTGCGGAGGAAGAAGCCATTACAACGGACAAGCTATCCTACACTGAACGCAGCCTAAACGTAAACACTGCACAGCAGTTCACCTGATATGGAAAGACAAGTGCACAGAGCACAAACCTTAGTTAACCACCAACGCTAAAGCAAAATGAACACCCCATGTCCAACTGTGGGTTACTTCTAATCTCACATTATAAACAACTTCATATGAAACAGTAGTGTTCAAGATTCTGTAGGCACATGACTGCTGATAAGGAGAATAGATGTTCACTTCGAGAGAGACAATAATGAGATATCTGGGGTAGTAGTATGTGTGTTGTAGGAGTATTACAAGCAAAATGTATTTACACATTGTCTGTAAAAAAACAGTTACGACTAAAAACTGAGAAATCTAAATTAAATGCATGAATCTGGATTATAGGATGATGTGATCCTGAGGAATGGACCAACAAACAAGGATCAATCCGATAACGACATAGACTATAGAATATAATATATATATACACCACGAGATCATGTTTATGTTTCTCGATTTCTGTTGTAAAGTTTCTTTGAATAGATGCAAATAAAAAGTGACAAAGCAGCAAAGGTCAGAAGCAAATGAACGGGGGGAGTACATGTTGACACATGTGTAATTAGCGAGGTTTAGCTTTCAGTGGTGATGATGTCTGGATGTAAATATGAAGGAGAGAAGCTCATACCTTCAACATGCACCTCGGTGTATTATCAGTAAGACTGGGAGCAGAAGCTCGGAGCGTCTGGTGTGATGGCAGCACTGCAGCATCATTAGAGAGACCGACTGTGCCTCCTTCATAACACTGAACACAACCACGTTAACAACTCAGCTCCTGTGGCACATTACACAACAACACGTCCCTGTCAACAAACCACAGAGCCCCGTCAGAGATGCTAGTCCCGGTTAGCATGGGACCGATGCTAGCGGTTCATTAGCATGGCTAACTGACCGTACCGAGGCTCCACATGCAGGTCGCAGTTAGCTCAGAGAACCGTGGAGCATCTCCACACATAACGCGGCGGTTATTCCGACTCTGTCCACCGGCTGAATGAATGGCTGTGTGTGCAATTCACCGCTGAGCAGACGCGACAGCCGCGGTCGGTGTCAAGCCGTGTGAGGCGCCCGAGCAGCGGCGGCTCGTCACTGCGGACGGTGACAGACCCCCGGCCCGTCCCACCAGCGCCGCTCCCGCACTCCCGCTGCTCTCGCCCCGCTCGGCAGGAGCAGCGGCGGCGGCGGCCTGGTGTTGTTTACCTTCTTGTCAATGCGGACGGTGAAGACATCCCGGTCCCTCAGCGGCTCCTTGCTCAGCACCAGCCCGTGGTTGAACTCCTGGACCGGCTGGTTGCGCTGGGCGGTTCGGTTCGAGTTAGACAGGCCGATAAGCTTTCCGCTCCGCGGATGCAGCTCCGCCGCCATCTTCAACGGGCGGCCAGTGTGTTCGCGACAGTCGCGGTTCGCGACAGTACTGTCCTGACTTACGGCAGATTCCTACAGCACCATAGGACCACACCACACCCGAGGAGCGCGAGACTGACATAACCAAAGCTATTACTTTCATTTTTAATAGTTATGTTCACTCGCTTATCGTGAACTATATTATAATTCAACAGTAAATTCAAATATTTAACATGCAAGCTTAAGTTTTTTTAATTTTAGGGCTAATCTATAATAAATCTATTTAATGTAATGATCTGTTCATGATGTAATGTCTGTTCAAAGTAAAATATTCATGAGTAACAACAGTATTTCCTGTTAGATAGGTTGATTTTACCTGCCAATAAATCCACTTACAGTTGAAGTGGAAGCACTGAGTGGATCAACTTCCGAAATCTTCAGTTTACTGAGAAAACAAGCTTTTCTATGTGTATTCATTCATTCATTCATTTAAAGGAGTTAATGTTACATTAATTAACCTAATCCTGCTTTTCTGCAGTAATCAGCCATAATATGTGAAGTGATCTGATCTTCATCTTAGTCTCATGACGAACACAATTATCTAATAAGATAGAAACATTTTAATCTTGAATGCTTTTATTGAACACAGCCATTTAACAATCAGAGTGCTGGGGGGGGGGGATACTGTCCATGAAACTATAACTGGTTTCTTATCTCTTGAGCAGGATTTTGATTTGATTTAACCAACAGGTAATTTTTGTATCAGATTGTATCATATGCAGAATGGAGGGTAAATCTAACACTGCCTGTAAAAGTCCACTAGAGGGGGCAAAATCCATGTCTCTGATCTCCTCTCTTCCATCCTGGCCATGATTTCCTATTAATATTTATTCACAGTGTCTGAATCCCCTCAAAAGCAGCATTAGCGTTTATTTTCCCTAAATTGCAGAAATAAATTTAATATTCATGTCTGTTAAAGCGATTTATATTTTATTCAGAAACACGCTGTTGCAAGGTCAGAGAATAACTAATTTTTGGTTAAAATAGGACTAGAGGAAGATACTTCTATTTATGTTTCAGAATAAATTCTCACCACTCTGGAGGTGATAACATACAAATCACACATTCCACTAAAGAATGAGTATAAGCTGCCTGATTAGAAAGTTTAGCGGTCTTCATGTCATTGTTATTCACCCAAACAGCATTTCAGTGTGTATACAACTTTGCCCTTTACATATGCAGTAGTGTCAATGTCATTTTGCACAAACATCTGTTCCACATATTGCACGTGCATACTTTCTACGCAGGGCAACTGTGAGAGGACACTGACTTGAGTTTGATGGCTAAATCCAGATCCAGGTCCTTCCCTTGGACCTGGATGTTCTTCAGACAGCCCGTCAAGAAGTGGGAGCCAACGTTGTCTTCACCGTCGCCTAAAAGTTAAAACGGAAAAATGAAGAAAACTCATGTGATCTTGGATTACATGCCACAGAATTCCTTGCAGATATATCTTTGATCACAACTGAATGTTTAAGAATGTTTTCTTTGTTATCTATTTAGCAATTAATGTTTTTTTATTTGTATTTACTCTGTCTGTAATCAAATCCCTCCCTCTGGTTAATCAGGACCTTAAATCTACTTCCCGACATGACCCAGGGACTGATAATTTCGAGTTTTTGGTGCAGATCCAAATAAATATGTGGATTTATTGAATTTGGTTTCATAACTGTTGGGCCTTGGCATGGGTATCTACTCTGGTCATACTTTAGTTGAAGATATAAAGGCAGTTGCTGCACAGACAACTTGGAAAAAGGCAGTTTGATCTCACCCAGGAGACTTCCAACAGCCAGACGTCCCTCTCTCCATGTGCTCAGAACAGCAGGGTTTTTCAATGAAGTGACACTTAAATCACTGAGCTTTGGTTCCTCTTGATACACTTGCAGTATCTCTGGTTGAAACGTTAGCCTCAGTCTCTTTAAGGTTTTTCTCATGCTGATCTTCCTTTCGCCCAAAATGAGCGTGACCTCCTGCGGATCCAAGAAAGAGACGAAGGAAGTAACTTTGACAGAGCCGAGCAACAACTTGTGAACTCAGGTCGGATGTGTGTGCGTACCTCTGTGTTGTTATTGGCCACTAAAGAGACCGTCAGCTCTCGCCCAGGAGCCTTGATGCTGAAAATGGTCCCATCCATGTGACTGAAATCACCCGCCAATTCAATTATGACCCCATCATCTTCGTCGTAGGGGAAAACTGCAAAATATATATTATGATTAATGTAATTAGTAGAACTTGTGTTGCAGTGAACTGTTGACTATCCAGTAAAAGCCATGTTCATTATTAATAATCTGATTGAATCACATGAAAGCTGAAAGGAAATATTATCTATGCCTCAGATGCTTTGTCATTCATCCAGGCCAGATGGAAAGCTTGTTATCAAGTGTAAGCACTTGTCCATCTCTAGTGCGACAGGGCACCATGTGTTCCCACCTGAGGTGTCGAAGATGGCGACTCCAGAGCCGGGGAAGTAGCTGCCAGGCTGGATGTTTTCATGGCAGGGCCAGAGCTCATCGGCCTCCGTCTCCCAGGGGACGTTGAGGTTTAGCCAGCTGCCTTCCCGCAAACAGCCGTCCATGTGCGGCTTGAACTACACAACAAGGAATGCAAGAGTGCATTTGGAAGGATGAACTAACAGACTCATTAATACAGATATTAATACAGGGCTTAATTGTAATCACTGCTCTGCCTGGGTTCATGTTCCTTTTATGGGAATATTTATAGCAGAAACATGTCTTATAGATTAGTTTAGGACAAGTGCCATAATCATATAACAACTCATGTAGTGTATAGAACAAGGCAAAGAAAAACCCCACTATACCTCCACAATCATCTTGTCCTTGTCCATCAGGATCCCGCCGAGGGCCATTCGGAGTTTGCCTGAAATGCCCTCCTGCATCATCTTGGACTGCATGCCCACCACCAGCCCAATGGAGCTGTCCACCTCCAGGATCACAAACTGCCCCTTGTTGCTCACCTCCAGCTTGGTGCCAGCACGAGAGGAAGAAGAAATTCAGACCCAGACTTCCTCTAAAAGTCTGTTCTAACAAACTGGCCATTTGTCGCATTCTGCACTGGGAACTTACCGTGTGCCACTTCCCGTCGTTGAGTTTGGGGCCTCCTGCCACGCTGACGAGCATGTCATCTTTGCTCATCTGCATCAGAGGGAGGCCGTCTTTCAGCGACAGAACAAACCAGTCCTCTCCGTCTTTGGTGTCTCCGTAGAAAATGACACCTTCTGGGTCAAACGTCCGTAGCTGGAAGGTTGATTTGACGCTGCAGGGATAGAATAGAAGACATTAGAATAAAATTGAATGGATGAGAGGAAAAAAAGATCCTTTCATATTTGCCCAGTGTACTGAGACCAGTGCCACTGCCAGAGAGGTAATAACGGTAGAAATAGATCAGAGAGTCTGCATTTGGAGAATATAATGCCAATATAATGAAGGGTTATGTAATATTTATGTTGTTAGAAATATGGAATCCAGGAGCCAGGAACAAATTTGGGCCCAGAATTCTTCACTGCAACTGCACTCGCTCTCCCTGATTCTCCTGTGGTACTTTTTCTGAAAGTTTTCTGCCAAATTCAAATGAGCTCACAGCTCCCGTTAAATAATCTTCAGATATTTTTTTTTTTTGGCTCCCCAACCCCAGATTTTCCGCGGAGCAGTGGATATGGAAGCTTGGCGGTGACATACCTGTTGACCTGACTGAGATTGACTGTTGTATGGATCAGTGGGCTCCAGATGTCCCTGTCCTGGCTGAGGTAGACAGTGGACCTGCCCGACACTTCTCTCTGGAAGACACAAGTACATTAACACTAAATCATGACTGTAGATCTTGATTTTAGTCAAAAACAACCAAAGGGCTGTAAACTATCCAAAATGCAAGACAGGGTAAAATAAAATGTGAATAAAATGTTGTATATTTCTTATCTGATTTATTTGTGGTTGTAACCAAAGGAATGAGGGATTAATTTATGATTTATTTATTTTGTTTTAAATGATTGATTCAACAAAAAGGCCTTAATTATAACATAATAAGAGAAGTGCAGTCATTTAAAATTCTTAAGTGGCAATCAATGATAGTAGAGAGAGAGAGATCAGTGGCTGTAATGAAATCTGAAAGAAGAAAAATAAAAAACTGGACGCGTTGCTTTGATTTGTCGTCACAAAAACAAAGTCCTAAGTTTTTATTAAGTTATTATTTATGAATTATGGGAAACAACTGGCAGCTGAATTACAAGCAGCGTCCAGGTGATTCAGAGTTTGTAGCACTTTTACGAGCCTCCATTCCTATAACCCTCGACAACATCTTTTTAAAATCTCATAAGAAACTCTGCGACAGATAAGTCAAACCACTTATTGATTGTGACCTTTTTCCTGATTTTGCAATGAGAAAAATCAATACTGGAACTATGCACATCTTCAGAGCTTAACAAACATCATTCGTACACCATATAATCCACCTTCTAATAAATGTATTTCCTTTTTTTTAATACAGCCAATGGCTACACACATATATTATTTAAACACATGCAACACAAATCTCTACTGATGAGACTCACACACCTCATATCCCATTTTTTGTAATGACTCGTGAGCCGGGTTATGACAAAGAGGAGCTAGTGATTTATAAGAGAATTTTAACATCTGAACATACCATACCACGTCCACTCCCCTGCCCCTTGGCTCCCCACCCCAGCAGAGCGAGGCTCAAAGTGAGCAGCAGTCCGTCTGCCACAGCTTTGCAAAGCATGGCCATCCTTCAGTGCATTCACCCACCCAGGCCTCCCAGCGGAGAGTGTCTACACTACAATATATACCCTGAGTCGTGGGTGGTGATCGTTGTGTTTGTACGAGGAGAGAGTGTGTGTTTGCTGGTATGCTGTCCCGAGGTCCAGAGGGCAACCACGCCATGGTTAGTCCCAAGCTATCGATCCCCTGGTTGTGACTCACGGGAAGTTTGCTGAAATATGGGATGGTGAAAAAAAACACTGGAGGCAAACAGATGACACAGAAGAAAAGTGTCAGTTAGTGTTCAGGTTTTGTCAGTGTGTCCATGTTTGGCCTGTGTGGAGACCCGTGTAGCATACAGGACATGATTGCAGGCTGGTTAGTGACCTGAGCCAGACCACTGATGTGTGTTTACCCATAAAACAGGAACCTTGATTCACCACTGCTGCTTATGTCTCGGTGTGTGTGTGCTGTGGGATAGAGGTAAGAGGGGGGATAGATAGAGCTGAGGTCATGAAACTCTTTCTCTCTCTCTCCTTCTGGCTGCATTCACATGATACAGGCTCCTTCCAGGAAGAGACGGCCAATAACTGGGAAATAGGCCTATACTAGGTACAACAGACACACACACACGCACAGAGCAGACAGTGAGAGCAAAACAATTAGTAAACAGTCTGTTGCTCAGATTTGAAGTCAATATAAAATCGAATGTCAAAAAAATATTTTCCCATGTCTATTAATAGTCACTGACATTTTATTTTGACATGTCACAGCAGGAAAAACACGTGTTTGCATATTAAAACTAATTACGGCCGATGACATCACTTCAGCCTCCTGGTATCGTAAACGCTGAGTCATGTTCGTTGCTTATGACGACACTTTTATAGAATAGGAAGCAGAGAAGGGGCTCCTCACCCCCCCCCCCCCCCCACACACTCCAGCCCTTGTTTTAGGTTTATTCTCTAAGACATTAGATAAAACTACAGGGACCATCTTTAAATGAGATCACACCAGCTGTGATGCTTGTCGACAATTAAGTGATGACTTCCGAGTACCCATGATGCAACGTTAGCATGTTGATGAGGGGCCAGTGTGATCCCACCACGAGATGAAATCCAGTGGTGATATCTGTCGCAGCACCTGGCGTGAAAAGGATCTGCAGAGAAAACTATTAGGAGCACTGAGACTTTAAAACTACAACCATCTGCCCATAGCTTAGTAAACGCACAATTTACCCCCTATTCTTGAAATTTCATTACAAATCCTTGGAGAGGTTAATAAAAAACTTAACAAAGGAGAAGTTAATTGCTGATATTTTCATCTCATCTGTGTTTTTAGGAGTGTAAATAACTCCCTCATCTGACAGTTCCTGTTAAAACCACTGTGTGTCACTGGTGGGAAGGAGCTTGTTCAGATCATCTCCTGACTCTGCTGAGAGGAGGCTGTGATGTGTGCATGGTTTACAATCTGCAACTAAACCACAGTATTTTATGAATTTAGAAAAAAAAAAAAAACACACAAAATGTGTCGTTGATAATATTACTGAAAATATATAAACGTGATGGAATGTACAACCAAGTAGAATCAGGCCCAAATCTGCACCAAGGCCCAACATTCCGTTTATGAAACCACATTTAAAGTCACTAGATCCAGCTTTTTATATGGATCTGCACCAAATTGCACACACTTATAAATATCAATGGCCCAGACATTTCTTTTCATCAAGATCCATGAATTATTGTCTGAGAAAAAAAAAAAATTCTATCTCACAATGTTAAAGAAAGTGGAAAAAAAAAAAAAAATCCTGGATCTGCCCCCTTACCGGATTTGAACCATCATTTGTTAGGCTCTTCCTGGGGTTAGTCCCAACTCTTCCACAAACTTTCATCTAAATCGTTTTTTTGCAAATGCAGCTGAAAACACCCCCCTCAGCAGAGGTAAAAAAAAAAAAAAAAAATTTAAAAAGCAACAGATGTTGATTTTACACTGATGCAGTGAAAGAAGTAAATTATATCTATATTAAACAATTCACTTTGTGCTTTAAGGAAAAGCAAAGGATCTCCAGTTCAAAAAGAAAAAAAAGTTAAATACACTTTTCACTGCAGAATTCAAGCAATGTGAAACCAGGAAACTGCCAACTTCAAGCACGTGGCTCATATTCAGATTTCACAAACAACACGTAAAGATTAATAGACAATTAAAAAAGACGTGAGACCGGACTAAAACTGCTTTCATTGGGTCATCAGGTTAATACTTTATTTTTGTTTGATTGCAGCAAAGAGAAAGAAAGGGAGACGGAAACGAGAGGAGAGAGAGAGGACGAGGAGAATATGGGAGGAGGAGGCTACAGACTTTGGGAGAGCTGTGGCTACAAGCCTTTGTATCAAATCTAAAGACAAAGTCATCAGGCAACATTAAAACATCTCTTAAAAATAACATGAACATATTTTTGTGGGCTCTATATGGCACAGTATTACCCTAGACATGTACACGATACCAAAAACAGTTTAGCCACACCCCTACAGCTATGAAAAGCTTCGTAGCAAACAAAGCCATGAAATCTATCTCCAAATCATCTCTCAAGAAAACGCTCATTTTTGCTCCTCAAAATTTCTTATGCCATAACAAGGCACCTCAACCAGTTGAAATCTGGCAGATCCACGTTGTACGATAGATAATTATCTTAAATATCAAAGCAGAGGCACATTCATTTAAACTAAAACATACAGTAAGTAGTTGTATATTACCACCAGATTCCAGTCCAGTCACTACAATACGTCAATTTGCATGCTTTTGGTCTGTGTGAAAAAACCGTGATGGCAAACTATGGCATAAGAAATGGTCCAAAAAACACAAACATGTCCATCTGCAGGAATGACTTGAGATTGTACATTGGAGACAGCAAGGCTTTTTTTTTTACACTGAAACGTACCCACAGAAAAGTGTCAGACAACATAAAAAAATAACAGGTGGCCCATACACTGTCGAGGGATACGCTGCTGCTCAGGCAGATTTATTTTGGTTTTCTTATTCACGCACTCACTCGCTCTCGCTTCACAAAGACACGTCCTCACGCACGCAATAAAAAGGCTTGTAACCACACCCAAGGGGATGCTTGTGCGCCCCTTCAGTTGGTCACGCTGTGTTTTTAAAACACCTCGGCCTGATTCCTAAAAGGCGTCCCAGCACCATCGACCCTGCACGTGCACGCACACACTGAGGCCCGCTGAACGGACTTCACCCAGAGGTGCAGTGCACGAGTGTATGCTTGAGGGAAGAGGGAGGATTAAACAGCTCCTAAATAGCGGCCGTGAGACGTAAATGTGGCAGATAGTTTTCGTGGAACTTCTCCAGACTGCTTTTGATAATTGATGATAAAATATTAACGGATATGGAAGATTAAAAAGACCAGAAAATATAAAAGGAAACAAAAGCTGTGCGCACAGTGCCAGATTTGCCGAGGATATAAACGGTAAGGAAGCAAGTGTTGCTCATGCGTTGTGGATACAGAACCCAAGTTTACTGACATGTTCCTAGGACTACTGTATATATGCATACCAGACGTTATACGGTTCTTTTACAGGTTATTTGTGTCAAAACTGAAACAAAACAGAACTGAAACCAACTCTACCATTAATGCAGCTGTACTTCATTAACCTCATGACTAAATTTACATTCATATTTGTACGTTTACTCCCCCCGTTTTTCACTGAAGCCACTTCCATCTGGTAAGAGGGCTAAACAACATAAAAACAACAACATAGTTCAACAGAACAAACATATAGAGATAACATTACACAACAAAAAGGCCCCAGGGGGGCATCTGGGGCAGTTTTTCAGCCACCACTTTGGCTGCGATCTCAGCCTTTTCCTACCACTAGGTAAATAACAGGGCAGGAGGGGAAACAGTTCAGACTATTCCCATCTCCCATCAGTCAGGGAACAGGAACAGTTTATTTATCCCCTCAAATCACTTCTGTGGGGCTTTCTGACTCAGAGACCAACAGTTTTGTGCCCATATATTTCTTTTCCTATATCCAGAAATAACTCAATACCCTGAATCCATTTCTCTTTTTCCTCCCTGTCGCCTTCCTCTTCCTGGCTTAGGACACGGAGCCTTTTTTTTCCCCTCTTCCAATCAAGGAGGTAAAAGCTACGCAAGGTGAAGGCTGTCTGGTTTTTATTCTTTTCCTTTTTTCTTGAAGGAAATGAGATGAAAAAAAAAAAAATGGAAGTGCAACGGTCTACCAGCCTTCAATTCTTACCCAGTGGCCAGCTACATATCCCAAGCAGCTACAAGTGTCCCCTTTAAGTGACCACTACTTTTCTATTTTGTGCACATAAGGTACAAACTATGGTGAATGCTATACAGATCCAACAGTGTCATCTGGCCACAAAGTAACACAGTTGAGACACGAGAAGCTCAGATGATCTGTCGTTGTCACGTTCAGCCAATGATTTGGATATGAGGGATCACTTCTAAATGCACTTTTATACATTGACCTACAGTAGCTATCCAACTAGAGTAGGAATGCTGTGTGCGTCTGACACAGAATGACCTAGCCATTCATGCACGTACACCCATCCATACATACACACACACACACACTCTCACACATACGCAGCAATACCTGCTTAAGCCAACCTCTGCATGCACAAATCCCTACATACATGTGCATGTACATGCTCATATATATCTTTCATCTCACGACAGGATACACCTGCACTCGCAGTTTCACCGACTCGCCTCTCATCCCTTATCGTTGCCTTCCCTGAAGAGTGTTTATCCTCGTTTTGCCATGACTATAAAGGGAAGCTGACTGAACTAATTATTCACACAACACACACACCCTGTTAGAAGTTCTTATTCTTATATTATAGATAATATAATGAGTAGGAGAGGAAGATTAATCAAGCTCTAGAACTATGACACACTACAGCAAAACAGGAGAAACACAGGGAAAGGTGAGCAGGGAGTAAAGAGAGGGGAGTAATGACATGTCACTAGATTATCGGCCTCTCCTCCCC